CGCTGGCTTCTTCATCCTCTCACCCCCTACCCTATTTCACTCTTGTGCTGGGAATGCTGATCAGAGTCAGACAAAGGCTTCCATGAAGCAAAGGCTTGAGTATGAGAATTACTCGCGATCTATAGCCTCAAGATAATCTCATATCCAGCTTAAGAATCCTGATTTTTAGGGGCTTACTCAGGGAGTTGTTAGTATGCCAGCCATCAAAGGCTTGAGACAATGTGGGAAATAACGTTTCGAGTAGTACAGATAGGGTGGCAGGGGTGAGTGAAATTCCTGAACCAGGAAGGTAGGAGGCAGATCCTACTGGGCAAAAGGGAGACTGTGATAAGGCCTATGGGAGGAGGATTGCGGGGTGAGGGGGTGAGAAAGCCAGTGTGGTGTTTGGAGAGTTCTCATTAAATCCTCGAAAAAGGACAGACCTTAGCACATTTAAATAAGCAATTAAGAGATTGTGTTAATGAAGGGGTTATACGAGGATATAAGATTGGTGAATAGTTGAGGGCAAGATGAGAGATACCACAATTGTTTAGCAGACAATTGGTCAAGGTATCGGCTTCACTTTTCTATTTTACGAGTTTTACTGTGGTGCTACGACTGGCAGGTCCCAATGACGATGCCGGCGAAACGTCTGCGACCGTACGGCACAACTCTGTAAAGTTTTATGCATACAAGGGACTCCAGACTTGGTACGTTCATCTAAATTTTTCTACTAATATGATCACGTCAAGTCTGATATAATTTGTCATTAATGTTTCTCAACGATGAACTAATTAAAATCAGGAAGCTCTGCAGGCGGAATGCGAAACCAAGGGCGAAGCTCATTACGCCTAATTAAACCCATTTGAACTACTTCCCAATAGGAAGCTATTAGAATAATCAAAGGTACAGATAGTCATCGGTAGAGAACTTGGCCACATGAAGTGGGAATTAGGGAAGAGGATTCAGCATTCAAATTCTATACATAATGGGGGAGAAGTTATTCTGCAATCTTCGAGGAGAAAATAGGTGCTGAGGATTTCTTTTACTTATCAGTTGGGTGAGTTTTAACACGATGCAAAAGATAGAGACTCTCACTGACGAGGCTGACTACGATGCCAGAGGAACAATGGAAATTGCCATGTTGACTGTAGTCAATGGCGTGGGTCTCCCTATTGCCTTGTCTGAGTGGCGAAAACGGGGTCATACCAACTCATTTATTATGGGCTTATTGAGATTAATTAGCTTAATTGCTCAATTAGTCTCAAATAATATTTGTGCCCGAGTTTTTGAATAATAATTAACTTCACTTCGCCATTACTTTAGGGTGTCATCACTTCCAGCCTCGATCTCAACAGGAGGATGTGATGCCGGAAGAGGTAATAAATTTACACCGTAAATGGGTGATCAAGTGTCGTGGCGGTGAGGTCTTATCACGGTCGCTCTGCCTGAAGGGTTTTGGGCCTGCTGGCTATCTACTGAATATATGGCTTCCGGAGCGACATGGTCTTGAGAATGAAGTAACCATTCGCTTGCAGCAGTTAGACGGTAGGTGACTTACTCTAATTAAGAATACACCATTTATGCATTGGAGACCATATTGCTAATATCTACCTTGGAATGAAAGTTCATTCGGAAAGACTTAACTCTGATATTGTTGGGGGGACTTTCATTTTGTATGAAGGTGCATGAAGAGGAAATTCGTAGGTCGATCTCACCAGATGAGGACGGATAAATCTCGTTGTACTGCAGCCGTTTGGTTCAGGTTGAGGTAGTCCACGAGACTTCCTCCCTCGTTTTGGTTGAAAAGTGCTGAGCTTTCGATGAACATCATCAGAGCATGATGTCATTCTTGTAAAAGTCTCACGTTAGCACTAGGGCAAGAAGACTATCAGGCTCTATCTTACTTCTTATATAGACTCAAAATAAAATTAAAAACCTAGATAAATATAGAATGGTTTGGCAAATTATCTCTCATAATGGTCTTGCTACTTTTGCCCTAAATGAAAATCTCCCAACAATATTATCTCAGGAGATTAATCGAAACCCAGCTTCTCTTCGTATTTATCTCGGATTCTTAAGTACAGTGGTACTGTTTTGCATATAAATTGATTCCATCACTCCGAGGCCTTTTGACAATTTATAAGAAACTACCACTCTTAGCCATATCCATTACGAGTGTTTTACCTTTAGATTGCTAAGGTATGCATGTAATGTACTACGGCAAGTTGCCTTTGTATATTTATGCTTCTACTTCACTCTCTTATAAATACCATCTCAAAAGTCTTATTCACTAAAACGAATCAGACTTAAATCATATTTTTAATTTGAGATATACTCAAAGGATACTTTTTACTGAGGTGGAGCGAGGATCTTTGGCTATAATTTATACATTTGGTATTTTGATACTCAAGTGGATGAGAGGTAAATGGGTATTAATTATTATTGGGTTTAAAACGGTTTATTTGATGTTAAAATATAATTTATTTATAATTTATTTTATGGTAGTCGTTACTAATGGCAAATAATTAATTTAAAAAATAGAAACTAGCTAAACAAAATTGTTTTCTAATACTACTGGAGTAAGCTTCAATCAAGGAAAGGAGTGTTTAACCATTATCTACAAAAAAAACGAACATATAACCATGAGAAGAATAGGCCAGCTAGCTTTTTAAACTGAATAGCTCAGACCAGCTTATTACTTTCCTACGCCAATGGCTAAGATTCTAACAAAAAAGTATTTTAGTCGCTCTCTAAACAATATTAAATGATGATTTAGATTCATCACCGAAGGAATAAACGCTCTTTACCCAAAATAAATTGTTTTAAAGGATGTTGCCTGATTAATATACTCTTTCTGTATGCTACTAGTTTTCGCTTAGTTTAATAAAAGTAATATAAATAAAAGATATACCATTCTACCACTGTCTTATTTGCTTTGCAGGTGTCATGAATGAGGATCTTCTCTGGAAGGCCAGAAAATCGGCTGTATTTCATCTCACACCGCAGGTGGCAAATTGATATCGAAGTCTCTTTTCTGATCATGTGCAGTGTAGTTTATACTTATAGTGAAGTATGTTATTTTGTTGCTTTTTCATCTAACCTTATATCTCAGGTAAACCACTTGTTTTAGGAGAATATTCTGATAATGGATTGTGCAAGCTACAGCAAAATTTATATGTCTACAGTAAGGAAAAAGGTTATTTATTTTTAGTATATAAGCAGCTTTTCTTGACTATCATCTCATATAAAAAAATATTGACATGGCTGGTTCAGCAAAATACTAGATCAGCATGAATTTTGCAAATTAAACTCTCTAAAATGTTATAAATGTTGGTTTCTTTAGAGCATTGAGCTGATATTAAGCTGACTTGATAAGGGCTGATGGTTGAATTTTACCACACTCATTTGAGTAGAACTTACTTTTCCATTAAATTTCACATAGTCTTGTTTCCCGCAAGGTATTCTTACACAGGGTGGACTTATGTTACCACCTTGTCTAGGCATCACCAGCACCACCAGCGGGTCTCAAATGATAACAGTGCAGCCTATAATCTCGACATGTTAGCCACTACGCCAAATTGCAATGAGTTCACTTGAGTTACATGGCAGGTGCGAAATTAAAGGAAGGCCAGTCATTTTCCTATGTCACGTTCTGTGGTGGGATTGTCACAGAAGCAATGCTATGGTTGTGTGAAATTCAAGGGAAATGAAAGATCTACTCATAGCATTGTGCATCCAGTCCTTCAGGACATTAATAGAAATAGGATGAACATACATCATATATATTATTTACTGCTAGTCTCGATGACCTACTTACAAACAAAAAATTAACGAATGGTATTTTATTAATAGATGAGGGCAATTATCATTTAATTTTCACATAATAAGAGAGGCTTTTATGATACTTTATTTATATTTAGCAAATATACATTGAATATCACGAGCTAAGAGTTATAGTTGATTCGCTATAACTATCTTCATAGCTAATTCATGATCCAAAATGCAAAACGAAAAATATTTTGAGGGTATGAAGACCAAGATGGTGTGGCCTTTTGTTTGATCTCAGACTCCTTTCGTTGTATACAAGTTGTTTGACCATGTTTTAGCAACTTGGCCATATTGGTAGGAAGAATTAGAGGAGCGCACCTAGTCCGGAGTCCATTGTATGTATGGTCATTTGCAGAGACGGACCGTGGATGAGGTACATTCCCAGACGTATGATTGGTATCCTAGTCGGCATGGTCAGTGAGTCTTGTCAGTCATAGCACCACATTACAACTCATCAAAGAGACAAGTGAAGCCGATCCTTTGACCAATTGTCTGCTAACCAATCCTGGTATCTCTTCTTCCTCCCTGGGCTAATCACAAATATTACATTCTTGTATCACGCCTTCACTATTACAATTCTTTACTTGCTTATTGAAATGTGATTGAGTGTGCCAATTTAAACGGCTTTCATGTGAACCCTCCACACTCCACACTGACTTTCTCACCATCTCACCCCCCTTCAACCTTTGCTGGGAATGTTGATCAGAGTCTGCTATATTGTTACGTAGCCCTCCTCCCCTATGTCTTATCAGAGTCTCTCTCTTGCTCCGCAGGATCCATCTGCTATCTTCCTGGTCAAGGTATTTCACTCGACCCCTGCCACCCCGTCTGTGATAATCGAGGCTTTATTTCTCGAATTCTACCTCTGGGAGACTGACTCGAGGCTAAAGCCCCTGAGGAAATCTTATGGTCAAGCCATTGGTTCATGGACCACGTCTATGGTGAAACAGGCCTACTGTCAGCCAACTAGCTCTAGTCCCCGCCGCGTCTATCCTGTTTCTATGCCTAATGCAAAGTCTATCACTTCCAATGCCCTAGTCTCTTGTGTGCCAACCCACAAATGTTTTGGTTCAATATTGAATCTAAACCAAGCAAGCAGCACGATGTCAACGAAACGTCTGGGAATGTAACATATCTACAGTCCGAATCTGGAAAAATATCTTGGTTTTTTGTTTTGGAAAATTAGGTGTTGATTACTTGACTAACTCTTTTTAGGCGCTAGTAATTAGAGAGTAATGAGGATTTGTTGATACAACTGACTTTATAAACTTGCAGGTTTTCTGTCTTATTCCACTTTATCGGGCCAAAAACTTTGTGTGAGACAACTTCTAAAAGTAGAGATTAGGTGCGGGACATAAATAAAATAATGTCACACCGGATGCGTCTGAAATTATAAGAAAATGAGAAGATATCATAGCATAATTGGAAATCGTTTTGCTGGAGATCAAAGATAGCCTTTGGTAAATGCTGTTAGATTGACGTAAAAATAAAACTATTATATTAACTTTGTTTAAAAAGTTATATTCAACACTTTAGTGAAAGAATCCACAATAAGCATTTATTCCTATCTGAATAAGGGCTTTTATCATTACTTTTACTACATCAACTTAATTTAGAGTAAATGTATCTACATCCGTTTGCATGTTTTACAGCTTATAGAGAACTATTGTGGTCCACTCACTGATGAAGATCAACCCTCCATAGGAACACCGATTCGCTTTAGCGAGTTTGTTGAAGTCGTCGATGCTGCCCCATATGATCGCAGTAGTGATAAAACTTGGACAAGGCTGACCGGTGAAGATAAGGTCAAGCGATATGTTTTACTCAGTTGTTAGCCTTTTCTCATGAATCCGTAGGTACCGGGTACTGGATTATATGTTGAATAATTTTAATCTTCAGATACGATATTTTAAGTGTAAATTGGCCTAAAATTGCTCTCTTGAACCGTCCAGGTTAACCTACTGAGCTAAAAGTCTTAAATTCATAATTCATTTTGAATGTAAGAATGCCATAAGGTACACAATTTTTTGAAGAAGTCACTCTTCCTCTTGAATTCAGGGATCTCCTATTTTTGAGTGTACCGTCCTTTTATAGTTTTTAACTACCAAAACTAGAATTTTCAGAATTAATATCCATTTAACCTTAGGGCGATAGCCAGCATGTATAAAATTTACCAAGGGAATGATGCAAGCAGAATGCGATATCTCTTGCCACACAATACTTCGGAGAGATTACTTTAAACTAATATGATATGTATTCAACAAATTTCATTTAAGGTGATAAAGGACTGGTAGTAAAATTTTCCAAGAATGATATGAGTAGAGCTGACGTTTCCATTGAATGTCAAATAGCCATTCTTTTCCAAAAGTTGTTCTCATCTCGGCCGAAGTGGACTGCAGTTTCGACCTTGCATCCGTCTTATTAACACTCCCAGCGAAAGTCGAACGTGTCAAGCCAACATTATCCACTGTCACGGTTCGACTCCCGCTGAGGGTATTTATAAGACCGACGCGAAGTCGAAACTTCAGTCAAACCTGAAGGAGGACAACTTTTGGAAAAGCTAAGCTATGTGAAATTCAATGT